GTTAGGTTGGTTGGTTGGGTGGGTAGGTAGTAGTTGGTACGGACCGAAACCAACGAACGACGATACGACCTACGTGTCGACCTACTCTCTCTCTTCTCTCCTTCCTCTCTCTCTCTCTCTCTCTCTCTCTCTCTCTCTATCTCATTTCTTTTGATGTTCTGACAATTATAGACTACAGTTTTCTATATTCCAATGGACTATGCTATTCTTTGGCTAAAAGTTCATGTAAAATATTCATAAATTTGAGCTAGTACATATATTCGCAAAAACTTGCAGCCACTCTTTCGTAAGATTGCTGCTGCACTGCCGGGGATGGAGACTCTGTCTTCTACAAAACAAGAGGACATGGTAGATGTGAATCTGAAGACTACAATAAATGCATCTCAAATGGAGCAACAGCCAGGGGGCTGTAATTGCTAAATTTAAAGTGCCATCTGAAGCTTCTATGTTGGGCAGAGAGAACATTGGTGACTGCCAAGAGATTTGCCAATAGTTGATCTTAAGTTCGTACTGCAGTTCGACTTGTAGATTTTGGCTGTTTATGAGCACCACTTGGGTTGTAGTGGTTGATAGAGAGGTTAGTTGATTGGTTCATTCTTTTAGTTAAATGAAGCCTGAGGGCCTCACTATAGATGTAAGATGCTTTATCTTTTTGGGAATTGTTAGATGTGATTTTATTTTTTCCATGTTGAATGCCATATTCCTCATAATCAGGTGCTACTCTAAGACTAGAGGCCAATAATACATATACCTTTTTTCTTCTCTTCCTTTGCGAAAGAGCTATAATCTGCTACTCTGTTCAAAAAGTCTAAAGACCCAGAGTTATGGTTCCATTGAGGAATGGCACAATATGTCATTTGCAAAAAACTTAAACTTAGTACAATGACTTCCACCATGAAAAGAAATTTTCTGTGTTTTCCAAAATTATCAGCATACTCTCATAGCTTTGGTTATAAATTTTTTGCTATCTCAACTCTCAAACATCATGTAATCATAGGTCGCTGACATGAACTATGAAAGAAATGTTGCTACAATGACCAAAATACATTCTCATGTAGCTTTATTTTTTTGCTATCTCAACTCACAGACATAATGTGTTGTCACACTGGAATCAAGGTGGCTTGTCTCCCTGTAGCTGTAAATCCCAACATAAATATTCATATGATCTGACAGTCTGTCAAAAAAAGGTATTCATAGGATCTGACGGTCATGTGTTCATTTCATTGATGAGGAGGTCATTGATACGGAAATAGAGCGGAATGGGGAGTGGTATGACATTATGGTGAACCAGCCCCCCATTTCAACTTGGTATTTTGAACTTTTCAGTGATCTTCTCTTCTTGATCATCTCATGCGCTCCACATGCCATTGATGTTCTTGGTCCTCGTTTAGCATGGCACATGGCATTATCATTACATTCACTCAGCTCATGACCCAGTCCTTGTGCGGCCTAATTGTGACATAAGCGGCCTAATTGTGACACAGTATGTCTTCTTATCTGGGCTATTATTCCTTGATTGCCACATCAACAATCGGTACCATATTTTTGCTCAGCATATCCTTCATCTCCTGGAAGAGCAAAAAAACAAGCCATCATCTCTACCTCAGATATTTGATACTAACTGCCATCGCGTGTTTGGAACATGCATGAAAGTCATCCGGGTAATGGCCCTTTGTAAAGTCTTGCTGGTCCATCTCAAAAAATTGCTCCCTGAGTTGAGGATTTTGAAGTATACTCGCGGCCTATTTGGTCGAAGTTTGTTGCCAATTGTCTTCCACACACTTCCTACCAATTTATTGGTTTTTCCAAGGCTTGGCTGAAGAGCCAGAGCCATTCTGGTCTATGTCTATTACAGAGAGCTTGATATTCCCTCATTTTTTAAATGGTTGTTTTATTCGCATGACACCTTTTATAATTCGTTAAGTGTTCTTCTGGTGTAGTTTTACCCACTTGAAATGACTTGCTTCTCCCTTGCATGAGGTTGTCCATTGTGTTGAACTCAGACTACCAAGTTATTGTGTATCATCCAAGTGTGTTCTCACTATTCTTTTGTCAATTTTGTTTCTACGACATCTTTATGCATTTTCTCTTTAACCCTTTAAATAAAGTAAAAAGATCATTCCATACATACAAAAAAGATGACAAATGGGAGAGAAAGTGGCATAATATTTCACAGATCGTCTACAAATTCGAATTATCATCAGCTACGAAAAAGATAATGAATGAGAGAGAGTGCCAAAATATTTCACAGATTGTCTACAAATTAGAATCATCATCAGCTAGAAACCTTCCCCAATACCAGTGTCGTTTCCACACACCATTCATGGCATCAAGTGGGATCCCCTTAGTTTCTGGTAGGAATAAGGCGACAAATGCAGTCATCAAGGCAATCCATCCTGCGTAGAACAAGAAACTGCCATACTTGAAATGGCAAAGCATTGCCAAGAAGGTTTGGGCAAGCACAAAAGTTGTCACAAAGTTGATGGCCACACTTATGCTTTGGCCAGCTGGCCGGATCTCTAAGGGGAAGATCTCGCTCGGCACTAGCCAACTAAGTGGTCCCCATGACCACCCAAACCCAGCCGCATAAATGCACATGAGAATCAATACGGCCAGTGAATCACCCTTTGTGAGTGGCATGTCGCCGGAGGCTCCAATCTTTGCTGCTAGCACGCATGCCACTGCTACCTATTCAAGGATTTATGGATCAGATGGCAGAAGTTATACAAACATAAATGTACTAATATACGCAGACATATCGATACACGGATACACAAAACATACAGACACATGTATGTGTAGATAGATTGATGTATGTTTGTGTATAACTACATACATGGCTACATAAATATCCACAAGGTTGTGTGTGTGCGTGTGTGTGTGATGCAGGAGAAAAACGAGTAATCCTCCTCTCACCTACATTTTAAGAGATGATAAGATCGAAAGGAGAAAAGTTTATATAGAGCCTCGGCTCTATACAATCAAATTGGAGCCCACCTTAAAAATTTCACTAGAAAAGGTTGTTTTGATACTCAAATATCCTCAAATTAACCATCTTGACATCAAGATGCATGGATATGAGAAAAAGATAGGTTTTAAGTTTTGGAAATAGTGCATCTAGTAACACATTTGTGGACCGTCAATTTAAGATTTTCAAGTTTCACAGATCCGCTCAATCTACACTATTTTTTAAGCTTTAAATTTTATAATTAAAGATGAAAATATATTTTAAGGCTATCACAAAGATTTGCAGTATTGAAACCACATTTCTCGACGCTATTTGAAGGTGCTCTTTGCTTTGATTGTTAAGAGCCTTGGCTCTGTACAAACTGCACCCAAATCCAAAAGAATGGTGAGTTCACCTTGTTTTGTGGGCACCATGAGAAGGAAAAGGAGAAAAATATTCTGCAAGTAAAAAAGGAAAAGTGACAAAGAGAACTAGAAAAAAGCAAAGAACTGTTAACTAGGAAGAAGGATAATTTCTCCCAAAAAAAAAAAAAAGAAGAAGAAAAGTGATGGCTTACTTGGCAAATGATCATCTGTGCGCCCCCAGCAAGGAACAGAATCCTCCGGCCATACCGGTCGACAACATAGGTCGACACAAGAATGGAAGCCAAGTTAACCAAACCCAGTATAACTGCCGCCATCAGAGACGAGTCCTTCCCGAACCCAACGGTTTGGAAAAGGATCGGCGAATAGAATGCAATCACATTTATTCCAGTCATCTGCTGAAAGAAAGGAATTGCAACAGACATGACCAAGTGCGGTCTATAACGACGCCTTAATATCATTTGATAAGGTGATGTAACAACTTTTGAGGCTTGGCACGCTCTAGCAAACTCTTCAAACTCGGCATCGAGATCAGCACTGGATCCCCTTGCTCGTCGAAGGGTCTCTTTGGCAAGCTCAGTGTGGCCTCGTTGTATGAGGCTACTAGGAGTGTCGGGAAGGAAGAGGGCAGCGACAGTCATGATGAGGGCCGGTACAGCAGCCAGGCCAAGGGACAGACGCCAGCCCCAGGTGTGGATTCTGGCTGTCCCATAGTTAATCAGGTTCGCGGTCACGACACCGATGCCGATGAAGAATTGGAAGCCACTGTTGAAGGCGCCACGCCACTTTGGTGGTGCCATCTCTGATAAGTACACTGGGGTGGCCTGACTTTGAAAATTACACTTCAGGTGGTAAGATAAGAATTACATGCATGCGTGGATTTATTTGCAATCATGTGTGCGCGGAAGTTCCCATATATATATATATATATATATATATCGGGGTGAGGGGTTAGAGAGAAACAAAATCGGACCTTATAGAAAGAGCATTTAATATGCGGTCTCATTCCAAAATCCATCTTAAGAGATGGCTTTCAAATTTAGAAGCTCACAAGGTGATAATCGAGTCTGCCACGATCATTAATTTGAAGAAAAGGAATTTAAAGTGTATAATATACTTTTTAAAAATATTATTTTGAAATCAAAATTCATCACATTTTCAGATTCATGATTATAGTGGTCAAAATTATCGCCCTGTTTAAATTTTTAGATCTGAAATCCACATTTGAAATGAATTTCGAAAGGAGCCTGCACTTGATTAGAGTGTATCGCTGATATACCAAACTCCGTTATTTAACGTTATAAAAAGACAACAAAAAAGGCAACTTCTATCTAAAAATGTTAAAAAATAAAAGAAAAAACAAATCCATTTCTCCATACAAAATTGCTATTGTGTCAATGAGAATAAAAATTACAACATGATAACTAAGGTATGAGTGGCTACCACCACAACCCAAACCCTTTCCCTGAGTCTTTGAGTTGCTTTATGCCTTTAACCAGTCTCATTTATACTAACCCAAAGAAAAGTCTCATTTATTCCTGTCCAAAAATATTAAGATCACACCCATGACTAAGGCCTTATTAGTGTCCAATCAAATTGGAAAGACAGTGATGGAAACAAAGTAGGGGCATTTGTCAGGTAGAATCCACTTCTTCCAACGCCCTTAAGCTACTAATTGGACGGTGATAGCCACTAGGTCTTGAAGTTGTTCTCATGACCATGAAAATCATATTATGGAGGCATCAAATAATATGGCTTGAGACTGTCTAGAAGAGTGTACCCCACAAACACTTTAGGCTCAAAGGCATGCACATGAAAAAGCACAGGAGGTTTGTATAAGGCGGCAACCTTATAGTTGCAGTAAGGCACACCTCAAACGCCTCAAACTATGCTTAAAGATGCAATTTTAGTGCCAAAAAGCCTTGCGATGACATGAAAATCCATTGCCACTTTATTTATAAAGTTTAAAGTTCCAAAAATAGTGATGATCAAGCATATCTATAAATACTTTAAAATTTTGAATGTGGATGGTCTAGATAATGTGTTAGTTCTTTTTTTTTATATATATATCCATGAATCTTAGGGTTGAGATGATAAATTTAAAGGCTTTCGAGCATCATAACAATCTTCTCCAATAGGCATTCTACGTACTTTACATTATGAGGTTGACACCTTATATTAACTTTTTTTCTAAAACGTAAGGATAGGACCGATGATTCTTGGCTCATTAATCGATAGAAAAGGGCGAGTACTATAATGCAGAGGACAATTGTGGCTGTCACCGTCCACTAACACGATGGACAACAATGGGATGCAGGGTAAAACTAATCACCAAAAGTGGGTTTTCTCGCACTTTGTGACTGTCCATCATCTATAGTGGGTGGAGTTGTCAAATTCGCTTAGCTTGGGCTGAAAGGGTCTAAACTTTCGGATTTTAGGTCTAGCCCTAAGTGGAGCGAAGCATGGTGCTATCACTTCGGTTAGATTCGGGCCTGCTTTGGGCCGGTTTGGCTGAAGCTTCGGCCTAAGCAAAAAAATGTCTATATAAAAGTTTTTTTTTTTTTAAATTTTTTATTTATTTTTCATTATTTTTATATATAAATATTTAATTAATTTATATTAAATTATCTTCTCCCAAATTGGCCGAACCGAATTGCTTTATTTTTCTCATCGAACCGAATAAGACTCCAAAGCGAATCCAACAACATTGGTCCTCCGGACTATAATTTTTTTATTAATCCTAAGGACAATAATATGCTTTCTCTAAGGAAAACAAAATTACAATACAATTAAATTTAGCTAAGTTTCTTCGTTTTACGTGCAGATTTCTTTTTTTTTTCTATATAAAGTACAGTTTTTTGAAAACCATACCATCACAAATAACGTCAGTTCACTTGCTGATGTTTCTTAGTCACAAATCTTGTCCAAGGATTCTTCACTCGGTAATACTTCAAGGGATTTTCAAAATTTTGGTCTTCCTATAGACCACGACTTGAAAAATTTGCAGAAAATAAGAAGTTATAAAGCATTAAAAATAATTTTTATTCGAATATAAGGTTGTATACAATCATGAATAAGAATTTTCATTTGGTTTCTTCTTTGTAATTATAAATTTATGAATTATAATTTTCTTGGAAATGGTTACTCAAACATAAAACCGTCTACAAGTTTGAAGAAGAAAATCTACGAAAGAAAAAAAAAAAATATTGGGTAAGCTTTCTATGCTTCCCCTACAATATAATTGTTCTATCCTCCCCCTTGTCTAACCCTCCATTCTGAATGGAGAGCTAAGATTGCCCCAATCACAGTGTCAAGTCTCTATACTATTTTATTTTTAATTTTTTTTCTATAAACTATTTTGACACTAAATTTTGGACGTCCATTCCTCTTATTAAACTCGCACTAGTGAAAAATGTAAAAAAAATATTTTTAATAAAATAAAATGACCAAAATTCCTCTTGAAATTTTCAAGGGGTATTTTGGTCATTATATTTGATCGAAAAATTATTTTTAATATTTTTTATAGGTGCTCCCCAATAAGAAGATGGCAGTACCAAATTTCATATTCATAGAATTTTTATAAAAAAAAATTAAAAATAAAATACTTTGAGATGTCGGATCTAAGATCAAACAGTGAGTAAAACTCTTGATCAAAATTAGACGGCTGGATGGTAGAGGGACGATAGAACTTCTATGCAGTAGGAGAAGCATATAAACCTTTCATATATATATATATATATATATAGGAAAAAGCTAACTGGCCAGCTATAATGAATACTAATATAAGTGGAATGGGAGCCGTCAGATCTTCATAATGCGGTTCAGAATACATATCACTGTTTTAATTTTAATTATTTTTTTATAAATCGGATCATAATGAAATTTTAGACATGTATACTAAAAAATAGGGCGCACAAATAAAAAATATATAAAAAATATTTTCCAAAATATAAAATGATCGAAATACCCCTAAAAAATGATGGGGGTATTTTGGTCATTTTAAATTATTGAAAATATTGTTTTTATATATTTATATGGTGCACAATAGTGTTTGATATATACACTCGAAATTTCATATTAATCAGACTTATATAAAAAATTAAATTTCAAATCGTGATGTGCATTTTGAATCTCATGATGAAGATCTAACGACTCTCATTTCACCTATGTACAATTCATTATAGCTGGCTAGCTGTTGTAAGGTTTACCCATATATATATTTATATATATATGGGAGTGGATTTCATACACCGACGGGCTGACTGCTACATTAACGCTCATGGCCTAAATTGAATATGAGCCAATTTGACGATCACGGCCTCATTTCGTAGTTGAATTTTACGTTTTTTTTTCAACAAATCCAAATCACTTGAAATTTGGGACGTTCATTCTTCTCATCAAGGCGCACCAAATAATATATAAAAAAAATAACTAGTAAAATATAAATTGACTTAATTTATATTTTACGAATTATTTTTTTTGTATTTTTATTAGATTCTATGATTTTTGAAGAATAGACACCCAAATTTCAAGTGATTTGGATCTGTAGAAAAAAAATGAAAATTCAAATGTGAAATGAGATCGTGACCATCAGATCGGCTCAGATTCAATCTGGGCCGTGGGCATTTACTGTAGCAGTCAACCCATGGGTTGACAAGATCTTTCCCTCTATATATATATATGGAAATAGTTCCTATGCCAAGATGCTAAGTAAAGCTTTGGCAACATCATCATCACCGATAACCCCAAAACAAATAGTAAAAAAACAAGCCCAATATATATTTTCTCCTGAACCAGTAGCTATAAATACACCAGGAAAAAAGAGTAGGTTCATAGAAATCTCTTTCATAGCCATTACTATAATAGAAGATAATCATAAAACCAAGGACCCAGGGGAAATAGCTGCTACATATTTGAATAACCACCTACACCCGAATAAAGGAGACAAAAGCCGAGAATGGTATGAAACCATTCTCCTTGAAACGAGATTTATTACTTTAGTCCATTTTTATAAGAAGAATATTAATATGATAGCATATTCCAAATTCCAAATAAGGAAAATAATTTCATACAAAGAATGGGGCACGAACCCCTTGAAACCTAGAAAATTGCAAAATGAAGGTTTCAATAATAAATATTATCAATATTTTGAATATATTAAAGCATGGCATGAGGTCTTTGCTTTTCAAAATAATATAAATTCCCATACATTGTTTATACAAATAAAAATACCAGTAATAGGAGATTTCCCAAATTGGTTCAAAAACTTGTTCCATTTATGGGGATCCGGAACATAAATACTGCCACCTAATATTCAAGCTTTCCAAAGGAAGTTCATAGATCACAATAATAATAATCTCAATATAGATCTCCATATATATTTTATAGCTTTATACCAGATCCCATGGATCATGAAATGGTCCTACCATATATCAGATGACTATACAAATAACTGGGAATATATTCTTGAACTAGGCAGACAAATATATACTAAGTGGTGGGATATTTACGAAAATGAAGCCCTAAACCCTGATAAAATAAAAATGAAGAAGGTACCATTTTCACCCCCTGATACAAAAGTGAACATGGTGGACTATGTAAATAAGCTTCGCTAACAAAACCCTACTGCAACCAGAGAAGAGCTAAAAGAAATTGCTACAGATTTTCAATGAGGAAGAAGAAGCCATGTCTACGTCAACTCAGAATGAAGAAACCAATGAGCAAGAATATGAGGATATGGATTTCGGAATATCACAGTAAATGATATCACAATACACAGGACGGAGCGACTACAATCCAAAAGCACACGAGTCCTAAAATGCCG